TTTTTGGATCCCTTGAGAGTGAATAGTGTTCACCTTTTATAGGAGAAGGTTGTTTGTCGTTCAAGTCCTTCTCTCTCCGCCATCTGTCCAATGTGTCTCATTCGTGGTCGTCTCCTATTGGAGGAGGACGACCACTCCGCCTGACACTCGGGTGCAGGTCTGTTTTGTTTGTCTCATTAGCGGACATCTCTCATTGGAGGAGGACGACCACTCCGCCTGCCATTCAGATGCAGGTCTGTCATATATGCACCTTGTCCCTCTGCGCCTCCATGTCTCCACGTTCTGTTCATACAGAGGGGGAGGAGCAGGGTTGTTTGTCTCTTATGGGCCCAAGAAAGATCTTTAATGAATTGGCCTTCTCTAAGTTGGTCTGCTTTAGAATGGTTGTCCAACCAGGAGGTCCAATATGTTGCTCAACCCACTTCGGAGTGGTTCTGTCCATCCGGAAGGTCCACCATGTTGCCCGGCCCACTTTTGAGTGATGCTCGTACATTGGGCCGAACTCCTATGATTGTCTTGCTTCGGAGCAAGTGTTGGCCATAGGGCTGAGGTCCGACCTAGCTCCACCTTGGAGTGAGTATCGCATTGGGTCTAGCACCAAGACTTGATTAATTTTTACCCACTTCATTTGCCCCCTGGCTTGCATTCAAATTTATTGTGTGGAAGCCATTGTTGTTCATCGGCCTGATTTGTTCAAAGTGTACTACCTTTGTAGTTTATAGACGGATCTCGTCCCTCGAATTTATAAGAAAACTAGATTTATATATTTATATGTAAATATGCAAGAGCATCTCGGCCCACCCAAAATTTTTTTTTTTTTTTTTTTTTTTTTTTTTTTATTTTTTTAGTAGGCCAAGTCTATATTTGCTTTGCTGCCATACTTTGTAATTGCTAAATTAAATACTTGTCAAATTGGTGGGCCCCAGTACCCACTAAGCAACTCATGTATTCTTTTACTCAGCACAATGCTCATAATGTCCAACTTGTGTAAACAATTAGCTTAATTGTTTGGTGGGCCCATTGCTTGACTTCTTGTTCATGATCATGCCTTATAAAGATAGGTTTGTAATCTGACAATGAACTTTAGATAGCATTTTGGACGTCTTAGGTTGAAGCCTAGTGGACGCTTGGTAGGCCTCGCCTATGCTTTCTCTTGCACATAAACACCTAATAATTCCTCTGCCTCGGTCGGCCATATGGTAAGCCATCCATACAGCTCTTTATTGTTATTACTTGCAAATAAAGAGTGGGTCTGGACAACTGTTATTGCTGCTCTGTTTTTTCTGTTCGGTCATATGTCTGCCTTGTTGGTTTACCTGCAGCTTCTCTCTTTTTTTTTTATTATTATTTGAGCATCACCTTTAGGTACTGCTCGGTCAAGCATATTCTGACATCTGATGGACTGAACAATTGTTTAATTTATGCACGACCACTGCCCAGCTGTCTATTTGTTTCAGTCTTCAAGATTTTGTTCTGCGCTGTTTGGTTGGTTTGCACGTCGGTTAACCGAGCAAGTCGTCGGTGGGCTGAGCAACTGCCAAAATTTTGTAATATGTGCTGAGCAGATGCACTTTCCAACAATAGTAGACAATGGAAAATCACATTGGCTCGGTCCCACTTAGTAAATCCATAGGTGATATTCGGTGTTTGGTCGGCCAAGTCATACTCGTGTACTCTGGTTCGGACATGATCAATAAATAAATTTTTTCAGCTCCTCTTCATGCATTGGCCGGTCATCTGTCATGTTTGGCCAGCCTTATTTACGTCTAATGAAGTGGTAGCTTGGCTTATTATTTCATCAGTTTGACCCCATCTTTAGGCACTGCTCGGCCTTCTTAATTTACGCACGACACTACCCGAATTTCTGCTCAATTCATTCTCGTTCGGTCGTCATCTTTTATCACATCCAGCAGCATATTTCTTCCGTGGTCTTTGTTGTTCGGTTGGACCGTTGCTTGGCCATGGGTTTGCCATTGCTCGGCCTTAGAGAAGCATGCCATCAAATTCGTAGTTCGGTCGCTAGCTCGGCTCGTCGCCGTCAACGAATGGGTTCAGTCGGTTGCTCTTATTCCGTAGCTTGGTTCGCACCAGCTTTCACGCTGCTCGGTGATCTCCAATTTATGCTCGATTCATTCTTGTTCTGTTGCCTTCGTTGTCATCAGATCGGTCGGCGCATCTACGACTTAGTTTGCTTATCTTCTTCGTACTAGGGAACTACTTCCTGAACTTGTTTGCTCGCTGGTTTGACAGAGTTGCCTAGTGAGGTTTCGGACACTCAACTTCCTTGCACGGCTCACCTGGAAAGTTCGGAGCTGGGTTAACTTCGCACTTATCGTTATTTCAAGTGCCCTATAGCTCGGTCTAAAATACTTCGGCCGACCCGTCCGTGAGCATCGCAGCTCGGTCGTCCATGATCTTGGCCTTGCCACCGAACCTCAAGCTCGGCCCTGACTAACGTCCTTACTCCGACTGTCGAGCCATCACGTGTCCACATTTGACTAGTTTGGGGGCTGTCAACATGACATAAAGGCAAGCCCATTTCAGAATTTGTTAATGAAAACAAGCAAACCCACTTTGTTTAATACTTTCTCCCTCTAGAATTTTGAATTTTCAGACCCATTTTTTCCATTCCCTTCCTACCTCACTTTTTGACTCCAGGAATAACAAGACCTATTTTCGGAAAGAAGAGTACTTTGTTTTTATTCTCACGCTTTCCTTCGTTGGGGCTTTAAAACAATTTAAAAAATCTGAGCTTGACCTCTAGTCCTCTTTCTATAAATCCCATACTTTTGTTGAGAAAGGTTGGAGCTTGCACCAACAACGTGGTCTCCTCACTTTCTCTTCATCCCATGAGGAAGGCAGATTTGACCTTAAGCATTTCTTCTTCATCTGGCTCACTCAAGGGTTCAGCCCAAGCAACTTTCATATTTGGCAGCTTTCCGAAGACATTCTTCTGAAGTTTCCTGTAAGCATTTTTAGCATCTCTTTTAGTTTCAAGTTCAAGAAAGGCAAAGCCACGATTACACTCAATGTTACTAGGATCGGCCATAACTGTAACTTGATCTATTTTCTCAATCCCAAACTCCTGCAACAGCTTACCAATATCTTCACTCTTCCACTTCTTGTTAATATTACCGAGAAAAATTGTGTCATTGCCCTCAACAGGTGTAGCGCTACATTGCTTTCCACAAATCTCAACTTTGGAAAATTTTGCTAATGCCTTCATAGCATCAGCAGCTGAAGCATACTGGACAAATGCAAAACCTTTATTCTTACCTGTCTTATCATTCATCACCAAACTCACCTCCACAATCTCACCTGCCTGCTGAAAAACTTTCCTGACATCTTCCTCCTTTGCATCCTTGATTTATTTATCTTTTTTTTTATTTTTTTTATTTAATCTTTTTCTTTTCTTTTCTTTTTATTTAATCTTTTTTTTTCTTTTTTTTTATTTAATCTTTTTTTTTTTTTCTGCAACTCATAATTTTTCTCTTGGTTGCCACAGTGGGACTGCTTCATCGGAGAGGCTCGCCATCAAGTTCCCCTTGATTTTGGCACTGTAAGTCATAGAACCCATGTATTTCCTTTCCACCTTCACCATTACTTTTTCGGTTAAGTGTAACGTTGAGAGTCATTTAGCACACGGTTGCTCGGTCGGCCATTGTACCTCCAACCTTGCAAGTCATCCTTAGTGTAATTGTTTGGTGGAACGTCACACCTCCAATGGGTAAGTTTCGAAACCTAGTGGACACCTCGGCAGGAATGGATGAGTTCCGCCGAAGATATAACATTCCCAATGATGTCACATTGACATTGGCGGCGGTAGACGCAGATCGGTCGTGTACGAGAACCACAATGCCCTTCTCAATTGCCTCCGTCGTAGAGGGGGGTGTTAGGTTTCCGTTGAACCCTTTGTTGTGTCGATTCTTTTCTTATTTCGAACTTACACCAATGCAAATATCAATGAACACATTTAGAGTGGTAAACGGTGTCTCAGTTTTGAACGACCTCTTAGACTTGGACTTGGGTATTTGGGATATCCTTCATTGCTACTCCTTGTGTCGTAATAAAGGTGGTAAAACCTATTATGTCAAAGTTCGGTCGTTGGACCTCCAACTCGTTACTGAACTTCCTGATAATGACAAGCATTGCTCTGATTTCCTTCAAGTCGGAGGTAATTGGGAGTTTGCGGCCGAGGAGGTGGGCCGATCGAAGCGGGTTCCACGAGAGAACGGCCACCCAGGTCTTTATTTTAGCTTCCTTTTATCCATTCACTTATCGCCTGTGATTTTTTTGTTAAAGTGTTATCGTTCGTACTTGCAGGTTCAAAGAAGCTAAAAAGGAGGCCGGAGAAAGAGCATCCGAGGGATATCAAAGTTGCACTAAGGTACGAAGATCGGTCGGCCTCGCATTTGCTTAACTATGTGCGAACTTACAGACATGTCATCCAACGGAAACCCAAAGTAAACAACTTCTCGAGGGACTCACTTGAGATTGAAACCGAAGAACAAGTTGGCCATACTACCGGAGCTTCCTCTTCCGCTGTTGTTTGTTCATCAAGTGGATCACTCAGTAGAGGCTACTCTCCGTCGCCAGACTTAGCAAGCGAAATGGCTCGTCGCCAAAAGCTCAATCTTGATGCCTTAGTCTTTGGATCTGATGATGAGGACCTTCTAGCTGTTTCGACGGTTGACACACGAGTTTCTTCTCCACCGATTGAGAGGTCTAAGGGTGGACAAAAGCATGTTGTTATTCCTCTTCCTCCCGTTGCTACTCTTGCTCTTCCCGCTGATAGGGCCTCAAAGAGGAAGAGATCCAAAGGTAAAGAAGTTGCTGGGGGTTCTAATGAGCAGGGCTCAGTTGAAGAATGGGTGCCTCCCTTGGAGCATAATGGCCGAGCTATCACTACATCGGACAGCACAATCTACTCAAGCGACTTGGCCTTTGACTTATCAAAGACATTGCTGTTACCTTGGGATATGGCAGAGCAAAACATTTCAAGTGACGTGTTGATCAAGGGTTCGGTGCAGATGTTAACCGCAGTAAGTCTTCTTTTATGTCTTTGTCATTTACTTAAATTTGGTTGTTGAGAATATGACATTTTGGTTTGGTGCAGTGCATTCAGAGGATGCACATCATGGATGAAAGGCGACATCGTGAGGAGCAAGAGAAGGTTAAGACGATCAACATGTTGGCTGATGCTGATATGTCCTTGAAGGCGGCCGGAGAGGATATAAAGAAGATGGAAGATGCAAAAAAGAAGGCCGAAGCACTAATGTTCATGGCCGAGCGGAGGGCTGTAGATGCCGATGCTGCTTTGAAGTCTTTAAAGGCTAATTATCAAAGGATGGTGGACGAGGCCGAACAGAGGGGCTATGACGAGGCCGAAAAGACCTATTCAGAGGAGATTTTGAAGCTGAGGGACAAGATCTTTATTAAGGGTTGGACTGGGGCTCTGCGTGCTGCTAAAGTGGAAGAGGCTTCTCCTCTTTATGATATTGACGATATCCCCGTCCCTTCGAAGACCGCTGCAAGGGTTAGGATGAGAAGGCCTCGCCAAGGTGGAGCTACGGATGTTGATCCTTCTGGTCTTTCTCCTTTCCTGCCAAGCTCTTCCTTGGTTAGACAGACTGTCAATCCTACAGAAGAGGAGCACCACGAGGATGGGCACTACGAGGAGGAGCAACGCGAGGAGTAAGTTGTTAGGTTGCCTCGAGTTTTGCTTTCACTTCTGCTTTAGTAGTTCTTTTGTAATGAAACTTGGAAGTTAATGAAGTATCTTCAAGTTTTGCTTTAGCGCTCGGTTGGATAAGCTATGATACAAACCGAGCTCCCTTTTGTAATGAAGTACCTTCTAAATTTCCCAAGTGTTGAACTTGCAGCTTGCACTTTTTTATTTGTCTTGGAGTTCGGTTGATTAGATCTTTTCTTTTGTAAGGCTGAACTCTTTTTTGTAATTGAAGTTTCACTTCAATGCACTCGTTCTTTTATTTTCGCAAGTGTTGAACCGCTTATCTTCAATTTTTGCTTATATGTCATGTTTGCCCCCGGCCGAGCAGAGGCTCTATGGCCTAGCAGGCTGTCTGTTCGGTCTGATCAGGCTTCGTGCCTTAGAAAAAATTGAGTAAGTTTGTCGATGCCCCCAGCCGAGCATGAGCTCTGTGGCTCGGAAGGTTGTCTGTTCGGTCAGACCATGCTTTATGCCTTCGTAGAGAAAAAATTGTGAAAGTTTTTTATCATGTTGGTCGGCCGCCACCTGACTTGGTCAAGTTTTGGCGGGATTTAACCCTTCGTAGAGTGTAATTCTGCCCGTCTTCGAGCGCGAATTGTGAATTTGGACCGTGCTTTAAGTAACGATACTTGGCACAAATTCCACCAAGTTATACCACTTGGCACCCCGCTCCAACCAAAGGGTTGAGCATCCGGGATTGGCTTGAGTTAAGACCCGTGGCCAATTTGCTCCACCGAGCATAAATGTACAACACAAGTAAATAAGGACAAACTATAAAACAAATTTTCATTCATTGATAATAAAAAAAAAAAAGAAAAAAAAGAAAGAAAACCATCTCTAATCCTTTCATTAAATGTTCATCAAATCAAGCGAGAATGATTTTTTTCATCAAATTTAAAACTCATTAAATCCTTCATTGAAAATTTGAATTTGACAAAAATTAAAAAAGATGAAGTATTGAAAAAGAATTTTTTCTTTTTTTTTTTTTATCAAATTTGATGAAAAGGGAAATTTGGAATAAGATGAGAATTTTATGAAATAGTTGGATTAGTTCATATCAAAGAGATTTTATTTTCAAGAACAAAGACAATTAAAAAGAAATCTGGTGTGGGCACATTTTAATCCATGTCTTACTCTCTTCTTGTCTATATTTGTTTCGATTGGATGTGTTCATTTACATGGGTGACACCATAAAACAAAACTATTAAAATTCTAGATCAGAAATAGAAGAAATGCAAATGTAGTGAATAAGGTTTCAGGAAGGGTGTGCACTATATACATTGTGTTTCATATATATTATGTATTTATATGATAAATTTTATGTAATTTTTTGGTAAAATTATGATACTTGTGGTTCATAGATGAAGTATTTTCATTTCTGAATCACAAACCATCACAATTCTATTAGAAAATTATATAACATTTGTCACAAAAATATATAATATACATCAAAAAAATAGGTATGATGCATATTATTTCTCTAAGTTTCAGTCATCATCAATCATGTTCGAGAAAGAATATTATGCTTGTTTATTTGTTTATGTTATGATCTTCTAATTGTTTACATTTAACTCTGCAAAAAAATCTCATGAATACATTTCACAATAGGGTAAATTACAAATACACCTTTTGAAATTTACTTAAAGTAGATATTGACCCTATGATTTGCAAAATTACAAATACCCCATTGTCATAATTTTTTATTTAACAGAATTAACTAAAAAAATGAAATTCATAATTGTTCTCCTATATAATAATAAAATTACTTAAATGATTAATTGAAACATATTTCTAATTTCATTAAAAATTATTGATTGACTTGATAATTTATTAATAAAAGGAGTGATTTGTTATAAAATTAGAAATCTTAAAAGGTGGAATGTAATTTCCAGAACTATAGGGGACGATTCATATTTTAATCTAACCTCAGGGGGTGTATTTGTAATTTATCCTGTTTTATAAAAATTCAACAATATATTATATGTATATGTAATATTATTATTATTTATTTATTACTATATTTGTTGGTCGGGTAAGGTTCGGGGTAAAAAATATTCACTCTCGCCCTCGATCCGAACGCAATTAGAGTTTTCAAAAGTTTCTCCAAACTCGATCCTACGCTATTCAATCACCACTGAACATCCCATTAGGGTTGGGGAGAGTTAGAGACCTAGCGGATTGGATTATTTTGCCATTCCTATCCATGGGTGAGTAGTGATGCGGTTAGGACTGGACAAATATTCATCTGATTTGTTAAAATTGAATTGTTTGGACTAATTTTAAAATTCATAAGATGAATGGTTTTAATCGTCCAAGCATAGATGTGAATACATTTTTTTTCAATATGTCTAAGTTTGGACATATGATGGATGGGAGACTACATGACCCAACCCAATCTATCAACAACTTAAAAAAATAATGTTATGTTTGTATACTTTGTATGTTAAAAAAAAATCTTTTATTTAGTAATTATATTTGTTATTTATGAAATATGAAAGTTGGACTTTATCTTTATTATAAAATATGAAGAATAAAAATTTTGGGTCAAAATTGTAAAAAAAATTTGAACAATAGTTTAAAATAGTAAAATTCAATTCGCCAAACCGATTCGTATCCACCTACCAACCTACATGACCCGCTTAATCTATAGATAGATGCAAATTGATATTTTTCAATCTGTCTGGATGACAAATGAAAGGCCACTTGACCCGACTTGATTTGCGAGCACCCTTAGGTGAGGTCACCATTTTTATTATTACGAATCTCGGTGTGCAAATTTTAGTACAATGGTAATACTATATCATCAGTAACAAGTAATATTACCAACTAATAATAAACCAATATGATGTCATTGATATCACCATTATATTGATTTTTTTTTTTACGGACTTTACAAGTCATTGACAAACCCAAAATTTAAAATAGTTAGATTTCTAATATAACTATTAACTCTGCTAACTAAATATGTGAAATAACTATAATACCTTTAAGGTCTATGTCTTTTTAGTTATTTTATTTCTATCTCATCTCTTACACATAATTTATAATTCTTAACATTAATTCAATTAAATCATAGTTAATTATAACTTCTTAATTATTATTATAATTCCTAACATCTTAATCTAGTTATATTTTATTTAAATAACATCTTAATTGAATTTTAAATTTGGAGAAGATTGAGTAAATTTATATTTTTGTTGTGTTAATTTCATTTTATTTTTTCATAAAATTAGGCTCTCTCTAAAAAATAGTGTGTAATATACTTTACATTAGTTTGAATAAAAAACTAATGGTGACAATTTAATTCAAAACTACATTATGGCATTTTGATTATATTTGAACCATAAGAAATAGAAGACTCAAGCCTCTTGTCCTACAATTTTTACATATCTCAAATTATATTTTAATATTTTTAATTTTTTAATATTTTTTAATATACAATTTTTATATATTTTAATATTTTTTTTTTGCACTAACTATCAATGTTAATAGTTCAAATGGTTGTCATTGGCATTTTTATTGATCGGAATATCATTACATTATTAAACAGAGAGATGATCATAAAATTTTGAACGCAGTTAGACTTTTTTATTTGACATTTTAAAATTCTATAATTTTACTTCCATACGTTCATTTTTCACGAAATTTATCATATTTTTAGATTTTATTTGAGGAGGTCTATCAAATTTAATCTATATTTAATTTTGAAAAAATAAAGTAAAAAAATTTCACTTTTATCTGATATTTTTTTAGTTACATAATTTTAAACATTTTTTGTAAAAAAAAAATATGAAATTTCACAGTTTCTCAAATGCAAAGAGAAAAATTTTACAACTTTCAATTGAAAATTTTCACAGTTAATAGAAAATGACAAATTTCTTAGTTCTCATAAAATTTCAATTTATGGACAAAAATGAAATTTCAAAATTACTGTTAGCAAAAATTTGGTTTGAGTCAAGTCGACAGAGAAGATTCAACAGAGAAACCAAAATTTTACAAACAACAAATAGATCAAGCAATTGTGGTTGGTGTCCTATGCCTTGACAGATTCAAGAACTTCTTTAGAGGTTATCAATAGAAAAACAAACTAAAAACTGATATTGTATTGCTGAAATTGTTACTTGATACAAAGATGTGAACAATAATAAAAACAAATTGCAAAAGAACCAGAAAAAAGTTTACTGATTACAAGAATCAAAAAACCATCACAGAAACACTAAATTAAAACTACTCCTAAAGAGAATAAACTCCTCCTATGATATGTTAAAGTAATCTACTTCTAATTGAACTCTTGTTGAGTGTTGATGATTGATGATATCTCCCATCTCTGCAAATTCTTGGCTTTTATATCTTCTTTCTCTTTCTTTGGCCCGTGATCACACGACTCCTTCAAACTTGCAACTTCTTAACTGCTACAGTAACTATCTCCTCACTTTCAAGCCTTCAAACCTTACCAAACCTTTAACTCTTCCTGTCGAACTAACTCTCTTCCATGCTGCCATGTGTCCCTTATCACTCTGAGAACTACATCAATAGAGAATAAGCCCCCAGTTGCAAGCATCATCTCCTATAAACCAGCCCTCTAAGCCACAAACTGGTTGGTAACTACTCCAAGGTTACTTCTACCACTTCATGCACACGATCACCTTCTTCATGCCACATGTCCCTCTGATCAATGGAAGACTTTCACTCTGACTCCATTGCTATGTGTCATTACTCAATTGGTCCACCTATCAATAGGAAATTTACGAAAATGGATGCAAACAATGCCCCTTTAACTCTTTAAGAATGAGACTTACTCGAATTCTTGAAGAGTTATAAAATTAAAATTAAATTGACAACAAACCTTTCAACAAACGAACATATATAAAATATACCCCTAGGGCCAAAACAATTTGGTGATTAAACACCACTTATGCCAAAATAGCATTGTCGATAAATTGATGTCACTGTTATTAATGATTATATGCCATTTAATTGGCAAAATTACAATAACACTCAATCCAAGTTAGGTACATTATTTCGACAGAGCAAATTGGCAAAATTTCAAGTATGTGATCTTCAGGTGGCTAATGAGAACCACCTTCCATCAACAGAACTTTGCTCTTTGGTCTTATATTATTCAAACAATGTTGGATCTTTAGCTAATTCACCAAAATTAAGTTTTGGTGTGATTCACAAACCCAAAATGGGTGTTAAATGCCATAATCCATAGTTTTGCATGGCTCAAAAATTCTGAAAAATTCAACCTTTTGATTAATGTCAAAAATATTAAATTCATCATGGATTGGTTGTTCATAATTTCCAGTCATAGTTGGTTGTTTTGGCCATGATCAACAGAAAAAATATATACTTTTTTTCCCCCTTTTTCTGTCGATTCATACAAAGTATAATAAATTGGCCATTAGCCCTTAAACTAGCCTTTTGTCGATGCGTCGACATTAAACAACTGGCCATTAAACTGGCCTTCATGCAAAGCATAAATAATTGGTCATTGGCGATTATTGGTTGGTCAGGGTTGTTTTATATGATCATTTTTTATTCTATCAAACTTACAAGAAAAAAATATTATTTTCGTTAACCAATTTATCAAAATCATTTTTTGATGTGAACCACAAACCCATGGTGGTTGTTGGATAATAGAAACCATAATATCAAATAGTTTTAGAAAATCAAAACTTTTGACAAAATTAACATTGTCAAAAATTTCAAATTCAACAAATGTGGGTTGTTCATGATTTTCAACCATGTTTGGCTTAAAATCATGCCCCCCAAGTAAATCTTCACCATCATTTTGTGATAGATTTTCATCATTTTTTGTCAAAAGGGACTGTTTTTCTTTTTTAGCCATTAATGGCTTGTCACTCTTTGCCATGTTTGGCAAAAAACGATGCCCCACAAACATATTTTCACCACCATTTTGTGATGAATTTTTAACATCTTTTGAGAGTATGGGCTGTTTTTCTATTTTAGCCACTATTGGCCTATGAAAATTCTCTAGAATCATGTTATCTTCATGACTTGGTGTACGAACCCTTCAAACCACATACCTTAGCTTTTCATGAATAATTGGCTCCTTAGGAATACGGGTATTAGCCTCCCAAGTCACATTATTTTTATGCTTAATTTTTTCTTGGCCACTAAGCCTTCTAAATTATGCTCCCAATATCGAATTTCTTCATCAATTAGGTAAGTTTGGCTTTCAAGTTGATGAATTTTTTCATCAAAATCATTTAAATCTCTTTGAATCAAATAATATGGGGATAATGAAATTATTTGAAATCTTTGTCGATAAAAAGAATTAATTTTTCTTCTTATGGCCAAACTTTCACTTCTATGCCAATTAATTTCATCTTTATAATACCGAATCATTCTTTCCATATCATTTATCATACCATTATGTTGGCAATAAATGTTAGAATCATTTATCAAACTAGATTTTTGCTAACAATTTTTGACACACTCAGTGGGACTTGTCTAATTTGAAGTTATGGCAATGAAGAAGCAAACTAATGCTTATGGAATCATGCCTTCAAGTGGCATGTCGAGGTTTTATGCACCCATGGATGCAAACCACCAATGGAATGGCAGTATTCCCATGGGTATAAATTATCAATGGAATGTTTCATCTTCCATGTCTCAAGATTGCCAATATTATGGCAATGATTCTAACATCTATTGCCAACATAATGGTATGATAAATGATATGGAAAGAATGATTCTGTAAATTTATTGACGTGGGAGTGAAAGTTTGACCATAAGAAGAGAAGTTAATTCTTTTTATCAACAAAGATTTCAAATAATTTCATCATCCCCTTATTATTTGATGCAAAGAGATTTAAATAATTTTGACGAAAAAATTCATCAACTTGAAGGCCAAATTACCTAATAGATGAAGAAATTCAATATTGGGAGCATAATGTAGAAGGCTTAGTGGCCAAGAAAAAATTAAGGCATCAAAATAATGTGGCTTGAGAGGCTAATACCTGTATTCCTAAGGAGTCAATTATTCATGAAAAGCCAATGTATGTGGCTTGAAGGGTTCCTACACCAAGTCGTGATGATAACATGATTCTAGAGAAGTTTTATAGGCCAATAGTGGCTAAAATAGAAAAGCGGCCCCTTCTCTCAAAAGATATTAAAAATTCATCACAAAATGGTGGTGAAAATACGCTTGGGGAGCATGGTTTTTTTTGCCAAATATGGCAAAGAGTGACAAGCCATTAATGGCTAAAAAAGAAAAATAGCCCCTTTTGACAAAAAATGATGAAAATCTATCACAAAATGATGGTGAAGATTTACTTGGGGGCAAGATTTTACACCAAACATGGCTGAAAATCATGAACAACTCACATTTGTTGAATTTAAAATTTTTGACATTGTTAATATATATATTTTACACTTATTTTTACTTGTTCATCCTTATGTTCACCCATATATTCCACGAGATTTTTCTCAATTGACTCAAGGTCTTGATTCAATTATTTGATTTCTTCTATAAAATCGGCTTCATTATTTTTTATGCTTTGAAAGAATTTTATTAATAATGTTGAAGCATATTCTCTTACTTGAATAATAATTGTATCAATAGTTGTTACCAAATTAAATTTTGGTTGAGTCATGGACTCATTGTCTAATAATAATTTTATAATACCAATTTAATCCAACATATAGGAAGGTGCTACCAAATTAAACCCTAAATCACCTTCCTCTTGTCAAAAGCCACCCCATAAATGTCAAACATCCATGGAAGTATTCATTTTTGTTATTGAAGATATTTGCATTAAAGCATGTAAGAAAATTGGAGGTACCAGCTCCATTAAAGCAAAGGAAGTGTCCCGCAAACATTTTGGATATGTTTAGATTATGAATTTGAAAAGAAAAATATATTTAACTTATGATGTGACTTGTGTCTAGTTTGTAATCGGATTAGACCGTACTATTGTACTTCATCCTTACAAAAAAATCACGTTGATCGAATATCGATAGCCACTTGTTCAGATCACATTTTTGTCAACATTCAATAGGATTTAAAAAAAAAATTGTTAACAGAAATGTGATCTAATCAAGTAACAATTGATATCTGATTAATGTGATTTTTTACAAGAATTAAGTACTCAATGAACCCAACACATTGAACGGTTTGAATAATTGATATGGGCTCTGTTGTGGGCCCACAGAGGACCAACAGTATGGTCCAATCCAATCCAAAACCAAACTGGAGACAAACCTTACCCTTTAACATATATTTCATTCACGTTTCTCTTACCTTTTCATTTTTCTTTCCAAATCCTTACCCAAATTTACAATTCAAAAGACAACCTTAGCTCCACAAACAATTGACACATCCATGACTTTAGTAACTACTAACTTCATGTTGAAGAGGATAAATAGGCAATTTCACCCTCGATCAACATCAACGGCTTCTTAAGCTTTTTGAATTTGGCTTCATAAAAGCATCTTCAATCTTGCTCCCCTAAATTGTATTAATACTATAATTTATGATGATAAACATAAACACAAACGATCAACTGCTTCATAAGCTTTTCAATTTAAATTTTAGAAGAGCATCTTCATTGTTGCTCTCATAATTGTATTAATACTATAATTTAACACGATGAATACAAAAAATCAACTTTAACGATATATTATTCTAGAAATATTTGGGATCCCTTTTTTGGGAGTTTCATGACCCCCCAATTTAATCTTGGCCCTTGATGTGTGTGTGAAGTCTACTCATGTATGTGTGGCCCCACATTATGAGTGCTTAGACTGAGAGCGGGGGTTGTAGAAGTCATGCATGTGTGGGGGTTTCTATCACATATTATTCATTGTGCTAAATTTATCAAGATGCTCTACATCATACCAAATTTGACATGAGGGAAACAAAATACCAAACTTTAATGTGATCAAAAAAATACCAAAGATTCTCCATCTCCGATTCCCTTTCTCCCACAATCCTAATACAGTGTCAACAATATCACGTGAAAATGTCAAGGCACATAAATCTCAAGTATGATCTGATAGTTGAGAGTGAATTGAAATAGGAAGACAGAAATTTAATAATAGAAGATCCCATGCCATAAAAAATTAATGCACAATCCTAAACAATGATCCCAATCCCCCAAGGTAATCCCCCAAGCACCACACCTTGGGGGCATTGGGCACTGCCCAGGACTCAGGCAGCAATAATACCTAATGTGTATCTTTCGTTGGGGGTATCCTAGAAAAAATTGTCATGTCTTCCTGCAATTTCCTATAAGAAAGACTCAATCTGTCATAATCAAGATTAAACGAGGATATTTATGCTCCTGGTCCTCTTTATATGGAAATTCTTTCCCAATATTATTCAAGCTGTACATGAAGAAATCATCATGAGAACCATGATTCATAGAACATGAAGCGAAGCAAAGCAACACACAAAGCAAAGACATGTTCAGAGACAAATATCAGAAGTGCACTATCATTTTGTCCTGTTTAAATGACCACTATGCATAATATTTAAATGAGACCTAATCTACGAAAACAACTAGACAATAACTGTCACTGGCGGATTCCAGATGGTGCATGAAGCCTCTCAAACTTTCTACAAGCCAGACATGTTATTATCTGTGTGAAAAATAAAATAACTGCAATCCTTTGGATCAGTAACGTGACCTGGGCTTCTCTGTTGCAAATAGATAGTGATGGACGGAGCTGTTTCAAGAGAAAAGACATGAGTAAGCAAAAATGATTACATTTACTCGGGGGAATACCCATAATTTATTTGAGGTCACACGTAAACTTTTTAAAGACTGGAGTGAAAATATAATTCCATAGTTTCTTTTCTTTTCTTTTTTTTGTTTTGTTTTTTAGTGCAAAATTTTGAAATATATATCTCTTTGCACTGTGGGTCAACTAAGCAATTTTATATCCTCTCTATCCATATATACTACTCTATGTTACATGGGACTTGGAATCAGATATCAAGTGTGGGTGCATATATAGAGACCAGTCCTATAAAATCTCAAATTTAAGGGTATGCAGGAAAAAAAGACTATATTTTCATATTTTAAATTTATTATATGAGATAAAATTGTGTTATATGTAATACATACAATGTCGAAAATGCATTTTACTAATTTTATAGTCATTATATACAACAATATATACATATAATTATAGGGTAAATACAAATATAACAGAAATGTCCAATGGAAAGTATTGTACACATCCCACACCCTTGACCAAGTGTCAAGTATCCAACACGGATATTTGATTTATTTTGAAGAGTCCATGTAACATAGGCATTGCCCTGCCAAAGAGAAGAAAGTAAAAAGAGGTGGGACTTGTGAGTGAACTATGTATATATAATAAAAGGATTACAACAAATATTCCAAGACTAATATGATGAACAGAAAGCCTGCCAAAGATTCTTTAATGACAATTCCCAAGACACAACATACAGAGAAATTTTGAAAACCTGTTAGCCAGCAACATATGGTGAGAACAAATTTCTATGACACAGCAATTGTGGTGTTTGAATCTTACAAATTCTTTAACAACAAAATTAACCATTACCTCCATTATCTTCAACACTTTATAGTTCATGCGAGCTATTAAACCCATCAACCAAAATTGTATGGAGATGATGAGCCTGAGGAAGATGGAAGTGGCCTCCTAACATATGGATGATCCAAGAGATCAGCAGCAGTGGGACGATCATTAGGGTTAACTTGTAGGCATCTAAGGATGAAATCCCGTGCATCGCTAGAAAGAGAATCAGGAACAGGTGGTGGCACACCCCTTCCAATCTGGAACAATGCCTGGATCTGCTTAATCACAGAGTAAACATATTAAAATAACAAATAAAAATCGCTGTAATGTTGCGATTTCCTGGAATAACTAATGGAGTATGATATAATATACCAAACCAATATAGCTGTCATGTGACCACAATGATTTTGGTCAAGTAAACATTGGTTATGTGAGGAAAGAACAGCTAGAAACAGCAGATGTAAAAAAGCACACTAATAAATTCTCAATGAATAATCCATTGAGCAAGTCAATTAACCACATAGCATCTAATTCCTCATCCCCTGCTCTCATATGTTATCATTAGTGGATCACAAATTATACACGGAGTATTTTTGGCCTTCACAATAAAAATAAAAATAATAATAAAAAAAATAAAATGTCTACAAGAAACAAACTTTGTGTCATTTCCATCCAAACCAACTGAAAACATTAGCATAATACTGAAATTTTAATGTTTCCACCGAAACACACTGACACACTACAAAACATATAAAAATATAAGTTGTTTTGGATGCCTATTAGGAACATCAAACAATATTGATTTCCTAAGAAGCAGACATGGAGAAGTGACACAACAACAAAATTTTCAACAAAAAAAAAAAAACACACACAACACATGGGGAACACACATTGTGCACTATGCCAAAGGTAGGTGTGTACTCAATCTTTCTCTCTCAAACACACATTAATGTGTATTAATTAGGCGTTGTTTTTATATATATTTATCATATGACATATATATGAATATATCATTCAAAGATAATTTTATTTTTATTTTAAAAATGCAACATAGCAGTTTTTATAAATCTTCATAGTCTTCTTTTATCATTGTATCCTAAGCTAAGTAGCACAGACATACACATAACACAAGGACAAGTCGACACAGTAATATTCAAAAAATACAGGACACGATATGCCTAGGACACATTAAAATTTTATATTTCTATAAATTAATTATGTCAGAATAATTTATTCAAAGGTAATGAAAAAAATAACGTAATAGATAATACTAATTAAAATTAAAAAAAAAGGTCATATATTCTAACTTCAGGACTTAAACATCAAGGTATTATTCACGTAACAATTTGCATATAATGTAAAATAATTGTAAAACATTGAAATACACATGATATATTCATCATATAAATGTTTCAAAATAAATTTAGAGTGCACAAGTTGCATTTTGAAGAATGCATAAAATTGTTATTATGAAGAGATTTATCACATAGATCATGTTCAAAAGGTTCACAAAGTGTCTACAAATTATTTGTATGCCCGATATTATAAATTTAAAACTTTAATAAGACACATTGAAGAAGTGTCGTACACTCTTTTAGGAGTGTCTATAAACTGTCAATGTCCAACGTGATAACGCTCCCTCTATACAAAGTGTCCATGCTTCTTAGAACATACTAAAGCAGTTGTACTTCAAAATGATAGGGTGTTTGGTTTCACTTTCCAGATTATCAACTTATTTGCATTTTCAACTTAAAAAGCTCAAAAAACTAACTTTTTAAAGTTGGGCTTTAGATATGTTTTTTAGGGTAGTTTTTTTAATTTATTATTAAAGATAAAATCACCTTATTTAAATTTTACCAAACAGAGCCTTTATCTTCTTTTTCCCCAAAATACAAAAAGACAAAAAGAAAGAAAAGTAGTTATTGTTTATAAAGTACTGGTTTATATTCACACTGTTCATATCCACCAAACTGTATCACAAAGATTAGATATAATCAAGTAAAAGAAGCTGAGTTCTGTTGAAAGTACCAGATCTCACCAAGTGAACATCGCAAACTACTAAACATGAATCCGACATAGAACCACAAGAATAAATCAGGTCATATAAATTTTCAGTTAATGAATGAAACATCAAAATTCAGAGGAACCTAGTTCAGGCTAGCTTCTTTTAAGAATTTAGTCCATGCAGAATGACCTAGAAGCCTTCAGTTCTAGTCAGGCAAAGAATAATACAAACCAAAATGAAATGAAATGTGGCATAACAAAAAAATCTACTCTAATACACAATATCAAAGTTGTGCAGATTTCTCCATAAAGCAAAGGCATGGAAGAGCTTTTTAGAAGAAATTATAACAAATGTGTTACGTACAGATTCTAAATAAGCATATGGAATCTAACGGGTCAACATCTCTAAGACAGTGCACCCAAGTGTCACGCCCCGAGAATTTCTGTGACACGAGAAGCAACATTTGAAGTGGCCAAATGCGCTGGAAGGTTCCGGAAGGTGTGAGAACGGGCTAGAGTATGCTGGAAGACTCTAGAACGTGGTGGAAGGGTCTGGAGTGGCCTGGAAGATTCCGGAATGTGGAAGAACCTTGGAGTGTCCAGAGGAGTCTGGATGGGTCTGGAACATCCTAGAATATCCTGGAGAAGCCTACCATGTACTACACTAGTATAGAGAGTTGTAGAATGTAGTAGGAAGGGTAATTGTTCTAGATGAGAGTTTGTAGCCCTTGAATCAAAATGATCCTAGCCATCCATGGAGGAGGGGGATGGCTATATAAGGGTGAGGGGTCTCATTTGCTAGGCACCTAAAGACCTGGAGATCCAAGAGAGCTCTAAGAGTGAAGCACTTGTGAGTGTGAGTGTGAGTGTGAGTGTGAGTGTGAGAGCCTTGTAAGCTTTGTACACGACTATACTTGTAAAGTTAACTTGTATAGTGAAGGCATTCTTCCACCTAAACTTTGTGTGTGTTAGTGTGGTTGAGTGGGTAAGGCTGACTTAGGTGCAACCAAGAGGGTTGAAAAGCATCTAAGGCCGCACGGTTGGCTTGCGAAGTCTAAGGCCGTGACACAAGGCTCCATATATCTGCTGGAAGCCCGTACCCTTGGTCGTTCCGTTTAACAACCTGCAAAGGTAAAAACTTCAATATTCAGAAAGGATTTTTCGTCTGTCTGTTTGCCTCTCAGTCTACATATGCATATATTATAGTTTAAATCTGTATATAAGTAGATACACACATAAATATATATCTAATATCTACACATGCATATTACCATTTTCCATTTCTGTTCTAGATGGTTTGTTAAAATAATGATCATACCTTACTTTCACTTCGTATGTCATCAAAGTTACCATGGTAACCACTATATAATATAAATCAATAAACATACTTTATTTTATCTCTTTTCACGCTGCAACTTATTATTAGTACCTATTACGTCCCACACAACATTCTATTCAATTTATAGACTTCGCTCAGCATTAATTTCCACTCTGCCTCAACAAATAATTTAAAACCACAAACTTCGTATTTCTTTATAAGTAAAATAATAGTTATAACTACAAACTTCCCATTAATTATGCATATACTAATCTCATTTTTCACCCTTAGAGCCTGAGACCAGAATAGTAATTATATCCTGCGTAAAATCTATTATATCTTCCCTTCTCTCTAACCTTATACAGAACAAGGATCTGATATGAATTCTATATTGGTATCACAATCAATAGTGCATTGAGCCATTGACCTAGTTGAGTAAACACAGCTTACACACTCCTATAAGCTAATATTTAGAACCATTTTTCAATGTGATGATGCAGCTGTTAATCATCAATCCAACTGGGACCCATGTTTAACATGTATGCATGAACCCCCTAATCTAATCTAATCTAATGAGGAAAAGAAGGGGTGGCAGTTTAAGGCAAACCTCAGGTGCCATCCAATGTGGACTGCAAGATTTGATATCATTTAATTCAGTCGCCTGCACAAGGGTATCAACCAAAAGCATTAGCAAGGAGAAGCAAATGGAAGTAAACAACATCAGGAACTATAAGAAAGAAGATGATATCGCAATCCAAAATGGGGAAGGGAGCACCTTTGCCAATCCAAAATCTGCGAGTTTAACAGATCCATTAGCATGCACCAATATATTAGCACATTTTATGTCCCTGGAAGACAAGAAAGGAAAAGATAAGACTTTGGGAACCTATCTTTATATCCATGAGTTCATAGGCATATAGAGAAATTGAAAAATGGAGATGAAAAAAAGTTTGTCTAAAATCTGTAAGATTGGTAACATGATAAAAATACATAAATTAAAAATTAAAAAAAGGCAAACAATTAAACAAATTAGCGAGCTTTAAGGAGGAAAGAAGTAGATATGACTAGACTATTACAATAAAGGTACATGTTTCATACCTTGACCAGCTGCATTGAACTCTGTTTAAACTTAATATTTGGACCACAATCTCACTAACATTTTTTCCCAACTTAATCTAGTGATTTAGAAAGTTCATTATCCTTACACCGTTTGCTGGGAAAAAGCACGAAGACAATCAAATTCAAACTACAGATTTTGAGACAAACATAGACATGCATGGCAGGTCAAGAAACCAACAATTTAGGCATGCCAGGTTTAGTTGTATCACCTGTGAACCACATTTCGCTCATGAAGATACTTCAAACCATGCAAAATCTGCCTTGTGTACGAGGAGACTATAGAATCTTGAAGATTATACTTCTGATAGAGACTTAAAAGGGAACCTTTGGTTACCAGCTCGACAAAGATATACAGATTTGATTCATCCTGCAAAGGCCATTTTTGTAGAAAATAAAATTTAGATGTTATTATCCATTAGTTGCAAGAGAAAGACATATATGTATTTGCTATCCAAGATTTGCTAGGTGTAATATTTGAAAACAAAGATCTACAGCAAGCGTAACTACTACCAAACAAGTACCATAATTAATCAGAAAATTGATGTGTAGGAGGCCTTAAATCTTACAAATCAAAATAAGGCATCAAAAAATGGACTTGGCTAGGTTGTTCGCAAACTCAATGTATCATCTAGTTTGTATATGAGAAACCCATGATCTGTGTGAGAATATATTGTGCATATTCTATATTTGGCATGATTGTGGTTGTACATAATCTAGGCGTGATTGTATTTTCTTTTTTTGGTGTAGGAGTTAGGACTATATAATCTAGGGTCTTGTTGTAATCAAAGATACAGTTGAATATACAATATTCTTCAAAAACTTACATGGTATCAGAGCCGCATTCGAAACCCTAGTCCTCATCTGACTTTGAATCATCAATCTCTGGTTCGTGGCCATTAGACGACCTCCCTCTAAAATCGCAACCGTGGTCGCGACCCTTCTCTCTCTCCAGAGTCACGATCGTACTTGCCTTCTCTTTCCCGACTCACGTTCGTCATTGCTACTGAAATCGCAGCATGATCAGCCTCAGCATCCTCTAATTTTGTCACTGTTCTACACTCGTAAGAGGTGTCTCTCTCTGGTTTTGGAATCGTGACACCTCTTTGGCTCTGGTTGTGCTTCGCAACTTCTTCTGGTCTTCTCTGCTTGGTTCTCCGACTGGTTCTCTCTCTATTTCTATATGTTCGTGACTTTGACTCTCTTAGTACTGGTATTTGGTTAAAAACTCTAATTTACAATTGGCCCACTTGTTATTTATTATTATACTTCAACCTGTTAATCTTTAGTTTATTACAATGACAGACACTAAAATCCAAGCCATCAAGTGCAAACTTATTGGTGACAATTATGCCTATTGAGCTAGTGTTATGAAGAATTTTCTTCTCGGTTAGAAAAAATGAGATTATGTATCTAGTTCTGTTCCTCATCCATCGAACCCGAAAAATGAAGATTATTTGACTTCCTGTGACACTTGGGATTGTGACAATGCCCAAGTTCTAACCTTGTTTCATAACTCTGTGGATGACCCAAGTTCTAACCTTGTTTCATAACTCTGTGGATGACCGAATTAGGGTGATCATGTCCAAATACAGTACTGCAAAGGACATGTGGGAGTATTTACAGGATGTTTATCAGAATTTTGTCAAACAGTATGAATTGGAAATAGCTATTCAGGGTGCTCGCCAGCGAGATAAATCTATTTAGGACTTCTATATTGAGATGACAGGCCCCTAAAATTAGTTGGCTCTCATGGAATTGTCTCACCTTAAGAGTCTTAATGCTTATGTTGAGTTTCGGGAGCATGGCCGTTTAGTACAGTTCTTAACAGCTCTCTCTCCTCAGCATGAGGCTATCCGTGGTGGCATCCTTCATCAGTCTCATCTTCCTTCTGTAGATGCTATTGTTCGTGAGCTGCTCTCTGAGGAAACCCATCTCAAGACGGCCAATCAGACCGTGTCCCCCTTCGGTTTTCTTAGCACCTATGGAGCCACCCCTACTGGCAACTCCTTCTCAGTTTCAATCTTCTGCCAAGCCAAAAAATGGCCCTTAACATCAGATGAGTGCTTTTTTCCATCAGAAGAGTCATTGGAAGTACAACTGTCCCAAGAAGGGACGTTCATCTTCTCAGCAGTCTCAGTCCCGAGCTCCTACTCAGAGTCCATTCCAGTCTCCCGCTGCTTATACTACATTCACTCTGGCCCCAGGTCTTGATTTGGCTTCCCTGAGTACTCAACTTGCTTAACTTCAACAGATCTTGTCCGCCTCTCAGTTATCTTCATCTGCCTCTGCTCTCACCTCTCTTCATTCAGGTTTGCTTGGATCCTCTTCAAGTATTTCTTCTTTTATCTGGCTTTTTGATTCTGGTGCCTCTCATCATATGACTCCTCACCTTTCCTTACTCCAAAACTGTATCCATCCCCCTTCTCCTATTACTATTAATACTGCTAATGGATCTGGTATGTCTGTCTTATCTATTAAGTTTATTTTGACCCTCTGCCATGTTTGCTATTGTTATTCCCTCTGTTCTTTATGTTCCTCAACTATCTGTCAGCTTGATTTCTATCAGTTAGCTTGATTCTTCTGGTTTTGATGTTATCTTTTCTTTTTCTGCTTTTTGTGTGCAGGATCGAGTATCCAAGAAGCAGATTGGGACCGACCGTAAAGTTAGAGATCTCTATGTGATGGAAAGCTCGCATCTTCCTCTTTCTATCTCTCTCGTTGCACTTTCATCATTTCAGTTAGATTCTCAATCGAGTCGGTTTTATTTATGACATTCTCGCCTTGGTCATTAGTCTGTCGACCGCTTATGGTCTTTAGCTCAATCAAGATTGTTGGGTAAAGTTTCTCCTGGTCAAATTAATGAATGTCAAGGGTGTAAACTTGCTAAAATGATAGCTTTACCTTTTAATAAAAGTTCCTCTATTTCTGTTTTCCTTTTTTCTCTTGTCCATATTGATGTCTGGGGACCCTTTCCCGTTTTCACTAAAAAGGGTTCTGCATACTATGTGTCATTTGTTGATGATTGTACCCGCTATACTTGGGTTTATTTTATGGCTCATAAATCTGACTTTTACCCGATCTACTGTACCTTTCAGTCTATGATCACTACACAGTTTGGGGCTACAATTAAAATGCTACGGTCTGACTTGGGTGGGGAATACTTTAAAATTGAATTCTGTGAGTATTTGGCCAATTTGGGTACCCTTCATCAAACTTTCTGTACTAATACATCTGCCCAAAATGGTTGTGCTAAGCATAAACATCGTCATCTCCTTAAGACAGCTCGATCTCTTGTTCTCGTTGCCTCCATTCCGGCACCATTCTGGGGTGAGGCCATTCTTACTGCTGCTTTTCTACTCAACCACATGCCGACTACCCTCCTCTCTGGACGATCTCCTTATGGGACTCTGTATTCCCAACCTCCTAATTATTCCCTCTTGCGTGTTTTTGGGTCTGTTTGTTTTGTCCTTCTTCCTAGTAAAGATAGGTCCAAACTAAGTGCTCGGTCTGTCCTATGTACTTTTTGGGTTACAGTATTACTCAGAAAGGCTATCGCTGTTACGACCCTGTCTCTCATCATTTTTATGTCTCTCGTCATGTTGCCTTTCTCGAACGTCTGTCTTACTTTCAACTTCCCTCTCTCACTGCTCTAGTTTCAAAAGAGGATTTGGTTCATATTAACCTATTTCCTTCTGAGGTCCCGTTTGATAAGTACATCTTCACTGTTCCTCCTGAGCTTGTTCCATCTTTTGCACCTTCTATTCCTCTTGTTGAGTACCTCTCCACTGACCCCCCTGAGGCTATTCCTATTTCACCTCTGGCTTCTCCTCCTCCTTCGGCTTCTTCTCCACCTTCGTTGTTGGTTTATTCTTGTCACAATGCTCCTCCTCTACCAGTTGTCTCTACCACGGCTGCTCCTTCTTCTGCTTCTAAAGACTCTAATCCTGTTGGACACTAATATCTTACTCGCGTACGTCGTCCTCCAAGCAGGTTGGGTTGGTCTAATATATGTTTTTCTGCTTCCTATCGTACTTTTTTGTCTATTATTCATTCATTTTCAGAACCTTAGTCTTATAAAGAGGCCTATTAGGATCCCAATTGGGTTCGAGCTATGGAGGCTGAGTTGTTTTGCTTTGCAGAAAACTAGTACTTGGGAGTTGGTTCCTTTGTCTGCTAGTAAGAATCTGGCTGGTTGCAAATGGGTCTACAAACTCAAAACTCATTTCGATGGTTCTCTTGAGCGCTATAAGGCTCGTCTGGTTGCCAAGTGTTTTTCACAGAAGTGTGGTATTGATTATGAGGAGACCTTTGCCCCTATTGCCAAAATGACTACTATCTGTACTTTGATATCTGTCGCTGACTCGTTGTTGTTCGCCATTGACCTCTTTATCAGATAAATGTTAAGAATGCTTTTCTTAATGGTCATCTTGCTGAAGAGGTTTACATGCGTCCTCCCCCTAGCTTTCACCATTCCTTTGGACAGGTTTGCCGTCTTCAGCATGCTCTGTATGGTCTGAAGCAATCCCCTCGTGCTTAGTATAATCGCTTTTAAACTGCTGTTACTGAGCTTGGGTTTCATCCTTCTGCTTCCAACGCTACTTTGTTTCTGAGATGTATCTCGACTGATTTTGTTGCTCTCTTACTCTATATGGGTGATATGATCATCACTGGCACTAGCTCTGACTCCTCTGCTATCTCTGAGGTCAAGCAGTATCTCTTCCGCACCTTCGAAATGAAGGATCTGGGTCCATTGCGATATTTTCTTAGTATTGAGGTTGCTTCTTCTCCAAAGGGCTATTTTCTATCTTGGGCTAAGTATGTTAATGAGGTCATTCACCGTGCTAGTCTTATTGATACTAGAGTTTCTAATACACCTATTGAACTTAATGTGAAGCTTAACTCTACTGATGGTGTTTCTCTGGATAATAACACTTTATATTGCGAGCTTGTGGGTTGTTTAGTTTATCTGACTGTCACTCGCCCTGATCTTTCACATGTTGTTCATGTGATTAGTCAGTTCATTTCTGCTCCTCGCTCTACCCATTAGGCTACTTTGGTTCGCATTCTTTGCTATCTCAGGGGTACCATCTTTTAGAACTTACTGTTGTCCTCTACTTCCTCTTTGGACTTGGTGGCCTATGCTGATTCTGATTGAGCTAGTAATGTTACTGATCACAAGTCTACGTCTGGTTTCAGTACTTTTCTTGGTGATTCCTTGATCTCTTGGAAAAGCAAGAAACAATCAGTTGTTGCTCGCTCTGCTGTCGAAGCTGAGTATCGTACGATGGCTCATGCCACTGTTGAGATTGTTTGACTTCGTTGTCTCCTGTCTGATTTTGGTGTCCCTTAGTCTTCTCGAACCCCTCTCTATTGTGACAACCGCAATGCTATTCAGATTACCTACAATACTGTCTTCCATGAATGGACGAAACACATTGACATTGACTTTGTTCGACAACATCTATAGTCTAGCTCTATCTCGTTGCCTTTTGTCTCTTCAGCTTTGCAACTTGCAGACTTCTTCACCAAGACTCACACTACCACTCGGTTTCAGTTTCTTCTTAGCAAACTTTCAGTGTTCTTTGCTAAAACACCTTGAATTTGAGGGGGGGTGTGAGAATATATTGTGCATATTCTATAATTGGCATGATTGTGGTTATACATATTCTAAGCGTGATTATGTATAGGCGTGATTGAGGCGTGATTGTATTTACCTTTTTTGGTTTAAAAGTTAGGGCTATATAATCTAGGATCTTGTTGTAATCAAAGATACAATTGAATATACAATATTCTTTAGAAACTTACACTGCGAACACTGGCATGAGATTACAATTGAATATACAAGATTCTTCATAAACCTACACTGCGAACACTAGCATGAGTGCCATGGACTAACATAATCAAAAGGGTGTTTAACTTTAACACATTAACTCCATAGTGACTAGAAACAGGTTCACCGCTATATGTTTTTTAATAAAAAAGAGGAAATTCTATTTATGCAGAGAAAAAGAAGATAAGGAATTCTTCTAGCCCCAGGAAACTAAAAATACGGCATAGTAGTGCCCCAAAAGACAACCCAAGGGAGCACGCAAATCTTGGATATTTTGGAAAGAATATGAAGCTATGGGTAAATTTGTCCTTTTACCTTATATTTTCAATTTTGAATTAATTTTTGGATAAAAGACAATTTTAATCCCTAAAGTATGCATTTTTTTCATTTTAGTCCATTAAGCTTCAATTTTGTCATTTTAGTCCTCAAAGTTATCAATTTGAGTCAATTTGGGCCTAAGTCTAACATCCGCCTACATTGATAACAAAAATATGTATAAAAAACAATTTTGGTCCCTAAAGTATGTGTTTCTTGTCATTTTAGTCCCTCAAGTTTTTAATTTTGTCATTTTAGTCCTCAAAGTTGTCAATTTGAACCAATTTGGTCCTAACTCAAATCAACAACTTTGAGGACCAAAATGCTAAAATTTAAAACTTGAGGAGCTAAAATGACAAGAAACACATATTTTAGGGACCAAAACTATCTTTCACTTAATTATAAGATATTTTTCCCATTATCAATGCAAACGGATGTTAGAAATATGATCAAATTGATTCAAATTGACAACTTTGAGGACCAAAATGACAAAATTGAAACTTGAGGAACTAAAATGACAAATAATGCATACTTTAAGGACTAAAACTGTCTTTTATCCTTAATTTTTTCTCATGTCAACTTTAATTTTTGGAGCGTGTAACACAAATTCTGTCGATTTGGACGAAATTATTGACAACGGGAGGTAATTGCAAAACAACTAAAATCTTGAGGGGTAATTGGCTATATTAAAATGACAGCGGTGAAATGCTCAGGTACTAAACCATATGGGGGTAAAATGGATTTTGCCCTTAACTATTTTTGTTAACCAAAATACCTGCTCTTTATCTTAGCATTTCCAAGCCTTAATAGATATACAACATGGCCCTATGTATACTATGATTGTTACATGGAGGGCAACGGAAGGGAAGAACAAATTTTCTTGGTCACATTTCGAAGTTTTGACAATTCATCTCCGATTCCATGAATCTCAAAGGAGATGGAGAAACACCATAAACTAGACTCGACCTCATATATGTCATGGCCAACTGCCCCAGTTAAGTTTAAGAAGAGACAACACGCCATATATATTTGTGAAATCGTTTTACTAAATAGTGAATCGTGAATTGCAAGATTCATTTTATTTATTATGATATCTAATTATATATATATATATATATATATAAATACACAGTGTTTAAAATAAAGTAAATTATCAATATGTCTACATTATATATATGTATATACACATAAAATCATGTATATCGGTATATATGTATATACACATAAAATCATGTATATCGGTATCACTAATTAATCTCTTCTATATATCTTCATAGTTTGGCGAAAACGATGTCATTCCATATATTATGTAAACAAAAATATAAATAGAACTGAATCGCAGTGAATCGTAAATTGAATCATACGATTCACTCAATTTTCTAATTCAACAACACGATTCGAATTGTTTTTGTTAAAACTCGTATCGAATCATATGAATCGAATCGTGAATAAAACAATTCTAACAACCACATAGGTTAGAAAAATCTAAGAGAGCATCAACCACAAGACAACATGAAAAGTAAGAGCACCTTATCTGTGCCATAATATCGAACTATGTTCTCATGCTCAAAGTGACTAAGAAGAGCAATCTCCTGAACAAAACATAATAAAACAAAACACAGGGGATGAGAAGAGTCTCCACAGAAATCATTTATCAAAAACCTGTAGTAGATAAATTAAGGGAAAGCACATTGACAACATCCACTAACATAAAGCTTAGATTTTTCTCACCTGTTCAAGTTGGGAAATACTTTGCCTTCCCTGGTCTCCTTGTCAAGCAAAGAAACTTCCTTCACAGCCATAAAGAAACCTCCACTGCAAGATGACAATAATAAATCATAAGTTTAACGGGTATACACAAGTCTAGTTAAAAACATTGATGTTTATGAAGGTACAAAGAGAACTTAGGAATTAGCATTAATCAGAAAACATGGTGATGTAGCACCAGAGGGCAGTGAAGTAGAAAAACAACAAAAGAAAAGAGGGAAAAAGGGGTCACAAACCCAAATCAAATATCTTAATCTCAATTAATCAATTATCAATATCCATTGTCAAGTCTGCTAAAGCATCAAATAAAGGCCATATATATTGGCAAACCAAACTAATCCTAGACAAACTCAACTTCCTAACTAAAAGCTCCTAAATAAATAAAATTTCTAGATAAATAAATTCCTAATCTTATCCTTATCTAATTCATAAGTTCCTATCATTTCTCCCATGGTGTAACAAAATTCTTCTTCAGAGGGTTGTAATTGCTTAGAGTCATGCATGAAGTGGAACGGCTGGCTTTATGAGCAGAGCAGAAACAACAGTTGTGGCTTTGAGGGTACTCACCGCAGCGAAGATCTTGTGTGGCATAATTGTTGTCAAATCGCAAATCGAATAGTTAATCGTAAGACTCATTTTATTTAATATGATATATATAATTCTATATATTTGTATACATATAAAAATACATACAATGTTTAAAATAAAATAAATTATCAATATGACCAAATTATATATATGTATATACATATAAAATCACGTATAGCAATATAACTAATTATTTTCTCCTATATATCTTCATGTTTTGGTGAAAACAATGTTATTCCATGCATTATATAAACAAAAATAAAAATAGAACTGAATCGCAATGAATCGTGTGAATCGTAATAAATTGTAGTGAATCACAATGAATCGTAGTAAATCGTACAATTCACTCAATTTCCGATTCAACAACATGATTTGAATCGTTTTTGTTGAAACTCGGGTGGAATCGTATGAATTGACTAGTGAATGAATCATACGATTCTAACAACCATGGGGATAAGGATACATCCAGACTAGCGAACTTCATTGGGCTTTGTTCCATGGTACAATTGCGAAGATTATGAGGCGATGGTGGACTTAATTTTTTTTTCTCTCTGCTGGACTTGCTTCTTTTTTTTCTTCTTTAATGCTGGTTAGCTAAGATCTGGATTCAGTTCAACGGATTGGTCACAGGTTGGGCTGTGTAGGTCTAATAGATTCATTTCCAAAGTCACTTATCATTTCTCTAATGTTTTTGAAATGTTTCCATTTTCAAGCTAATTGAAACAACATAGCAAAATGAAATTTTCATCCTTGCCCTAATCCACATAAGGTGGCTTGCTTGAGCAACAAAACTTTAAAATTCATAAAAACTGTCTCCTTGCCCCATATACTAGGTCACAATATGGTGTTTAATATCTCAAATTCTCTCACAACCATCAGTGTCCCCTTTCCCACATACTAGGAAGGTAATATGAAGCCTACCATAATAAAATAAATAAATTCATTTTGCATCCAAGGGAATTCAAGCTGATGGCAGCTTGAGATATTCCAGTTACAATAGAAGAGAACAAGAAGTTCCCTCTTCTTTGGCATATTAATTAGGTCTAAGCCTGATAAGAGGGCATCAAGTTTTACAAATACAAGAAAAATGATATTGAAACCATCGCTTGATTATAGAAACACACTACTCAAATAAGAAACAACCAAAATCAACCCTTTGTTAGAAATGTGTTGCCATTCTCATTAAGTGGTATACATACAAATAAATGGACTCCAACTCTCTGATATGATAGACATTCTCTGTGAAAATTTTCTTGTACAGAATTTAGAAGGAAAGCCTCCAACGAGAAAGAAATCCATGCAAAGTCCAAATTCACATGCATATTCAATTAAAAGTGATAACCATGAATACTGAATAATGGGTTGCAATTTCGCAACTCACGCAATGCATGTGCAACTAGAGGTGTGCGCGGTGCGGGTCGGTGCGGTTTGAGAGAAAAATAGAAACTGTATAGCGGGTAGCGGATTGATAAAAGTGTCACTAGAATTTTCCATTTTCCTTATCAAAAACCGGTGGTTTGGTTGGCAAATAATGACGGATTTGCCTTGGCGGTTCGGGCGGATTGGCGGTTTATAAAAAAATATAATTCAAATTACAAAACTTAAATCAAAGAGTAAAAAAAAGACGAGAGATACCGTGATGTTAAGCATCTTGCGAAGCTTTCTTCTAATGCAGCAAGTGTAGCAACAACATGATAATATCAACGACTATGCCATCAGTTCATTACAAGCGTTTGTGGAAGTTACAATGATCAAATACAATATATAAAATTAATTTCATTCCAGGTTTACAATATATTGAAAATATTTACTGTTGAAAAGTATTTAGATTGAAAAGTGAGCTAATGCAAGTTTGCAACATAGCCAAAAAAAAAAAAAAAGATTAAAAAGTGAATTGGAATCCAACTTTATTTTGGATTACTGACATCTTAAATTCCCCTCGAGCAGTAATGTAATACTATATTCTAAGGTATAGAACAACAAGCAAACTTAAGTAAAAAAGAATTTTTAGAATCTTATAAAACATGATTTAATAGCGGTGCGGGTCGGTACAATTTGAAAGAAAAATAGAAACCGGCGGATTGATAAAAGTGTCACTAGAATTTGTTATTTTTCTTACCAAAAACCGGCAGTTCGATTGGCAAATAATAACAAATTTACCTTGGCAGTGCGGCTCGATGCGATTTTGGCAGTTTCAGCGGTATTATGCACACCCCTATGTGCAACACATATAATGTCTAATAAATGCAAAAGAAAGGAACTCTTTTATATCCACACACCTGTCAGTAAATTTATCCTAAATTTTCAAATTTTCATTGCCTCTAAATTCACTTAAAAATCAAATTTGTCAAAACCCAGAAACAAATTCACATCCAAATTCAAAGTCTCTCACTCAACAGTTAACACATTAATCTCAAAATGCTAAAATTACTAATAAGGAAAATAATGTGAATAGCACTTACTCAGCAATGCCTTCGTACACGGATCCAAACGACCCACGGCCCAGAAGCTGACCCTTTACCCAGTCCCCAGTGGGACTAAATCTATCATTTAGCGAAACTATCTCTTCTCCATCATCGTCAGAAGAACTGTACTCTCTTGCAGAAGACAAATCAATATTAAAATCCGGAGCAAAAGACTTCAAAATATCCCAAGTTGAGCACGAATTGTCCATACTTGGCAACGAAATTGACGACGGCGGAGCAAGCACAGGTGGGCGAACACCCTCAATTCCGCCTCCGCAACTCCGAGAAGTCTTAGCAGTAATCGGATTATCCATAACTTCACAAACCCTGACACTGTCTCCAAATTTATCTGACAATTCACAAACAGCGAAGTGTTCGAAGTGATTTTCTGTGGAAGCTGTAAATTTGTGAGAAAATTTCGAGAATATGACTAGATCCAGAGGACGAGAAGGGGGACCCAGTTGGAGACGAAATAATGGAGGAGAGAGGGAGAGAGAGTCGCGTAAGACTGACAGAAGACTTGGAAAACGCCGTCGGAGGAGAGAGAAACGTTGGGAATACAAGAAAAATCTAATGGAAGTGTGAGGTTACATTTTGAACTTAATTTTATTTTTTTAATTTTTTTAATTTTCTGCCGTACAATTAAAACTTAGGTCTCGTTTGGGTACCTTTTTTTTGGTTAAAAAGTTATTAAATTAGTTAAAAAGTCAACAATTCATACCAAAAGGTTAAAAATTCTCTTTTCTCTCTACTTTTTACACATTTTTTCATAAAAAGCCAAAAAGTCATCCCAAACATACTAGTTTTTTTTAGCTCATATTTTAGCCAAAAAGTTACTAAATTAGTCTGTTCCCAAACGATGCCTTAGTTAAAGTTTTAAAATTAGAAGAATATCAAGTGTGTTTGGTTTGTGTTTGTAGAGTAGTTTTTGAGATAAAAAAATATAAAAATTTGTTTGGTTTGTCTTTTTTTAAATATTCTCTCCAAAATAATTTTGTTTTTTTAGAGTAATTTTGAGATAAAAAGTACAAAAATTTGTTTGGTTTGTTTTTTTTCAAATATTCTCTCCAAAATAACTTTGGTTTTTTTTTTAAGAGTAGTTTTTGAGATAAAAAAAAGTATAAAAATTTGTTTGATTTGCCTTTTTGTAGAGTAATTTTTGAGATAAAAAATACAAAAATTTGTTTGATTTGTCTTTTTTACAAACATGTTTCAAAAGTAATTCTGAAAATTAGATAACCAAACATATTTCTGAGAATTTTTTTGAAAAAATCTATTTAATTTGATTACTCTTAAAAAAAAGTGTCTATAGAATATATTTTCAAAAAATTTCTTCCAAAATCAAACTAAGGTCAAGTTTGGCATGACCTAAATAATACAAAAAGTTAAAAAATCACTATCCTATTTAAGTCACATCATCTTATTTAAATTACATCACCTCTCTAACACATCACATCAAACTCAACCCAAACCCAACCCATATAAGCCAATAAGTAAAAAAGTGCACTTTTTTAGAACATCCCAAACCAACCCTAAACAAAGCCGCTTGTTATTCTGCAATACAATTGCTGGGAAAATTACTATTACCAAGTAAAAATACAGACATAGGTAAGTGGTGAAGTCATCAATGGGTACGATAGCCACACCTGTAACGTAGAGTCTGGGTCGGAGGCTCCTTATTAGGACTGCAAATGAACCGAGCTGTTCATGAACAAGCTCGAACTCGGCTCGTTAAGGCTCGTTCGAACTCGACTTAATTAATAAACGAGCCAAACTCGAGCTTACTATTGCTCGACTCGAATAGGCTCGCCAGCTCAAAAATATAAATATTAATTTATATTTTTATATTTTAAATATATATATATAATATAATATATATATATTATAATAAAATATTTTTAATTATATTATATATTATATATAATATAATATATATATATATATATTATACATATCAAAAATTTTGAACTTTTTATTTTTTATTTTTATAATATTTTATGTTTTATATATTTATATATATATTATATTGTATGTTTAATATATTTTATGTTCAATATATTTATATATTATATTGTCCTTAGAATTTGGCTGCCACTACCGTTGCCAACAGCTCCATTTATAAGCAGCGAACCTTAGCATGCTTCTTCCTTTGAGCGATGTGGGACTTTTGGTGCACTTGACAAAACGACGCCGTTTGATAAGTAATGTTTCAAACAATTGGGAGTCTCACATCGTTTACTTATGTATTTCAAAGACAAACAAATCTCTATTTAAGTGTAGTAGCTGCTAGCCTTTGTGGTTTCACTTGGCTAACGAGCCATAACGAGCCGAGCCCGAGTTACATAAATTTTAGGCGAGCCGAGCTCGAGCTCACATATTTAGGCTCGTTTCGAGCTCGAGCCGAGCTCGAACACCTCTGTAATAAATCGAGCCGAGCTCGAACATAGTGAAACTCGGCTCGGCTCGATTACAGCCCTAACTCTTTATCCAACTTCGTCCAATTTTTGCCGCTTGCTCTCTCGACTCAATTCTTGTGTAACTCTCTCTCACTCTCCCTCAAACTCGTAAATTTATACTTCGTCAAACTCGCAAACTTCGTCAAACTCGTAAATTTAGAGATTGTTTGGAATGAATTATATAAATGTATTTTTTAATTTTTTTATTAAAAAATAGAGAAAAAATATATATATTTGGAATAATTTTTTAATTTTTTACCAAAAATATGTATTAAAATATTGTATTAACTAACAAAATTACCAAAGTATCCTTCTAAGCACTGGCGCACACTGTGCTGCTGCACTGCTTTTTTCTTCTTCTTTTTTTCAATTTTTGTGCATGTCAGCAAGGGTGTTTTGGTCTTTTTGCCCTCCGTATATGTTGACTTTTTGACTAAATAATTGATTAGTGAATAGAGTTAACTTTTTTGTTTTTTTAGTAATTTTTTAATTTTTTGTCTATTTTAGAGGATCTTAGACTTCGTATAAAAAATTGAGTTGATTTTTTAACTGTTTTAGCTTCGGTTAAAAATTTTATTTAGGTTTCCTTTGAAAACATATTATTTTAGTAATTTTTTAACTTTTTATAAAAAAAATGTGTAGAAAAATAAAAAAAGTGATATAACAACTTATAATTATTTTTTAGTTTTTTGGCTAAAATAGTTACTCCCCAAACAAAACCTTAGTTTGATTTTTTTATTTTTTTTGTGAGAGAAAAATAAAATGATTATAATTTGAATGTGACATTTTAGGATGGTTTGGAATGTTCTAGTGTACTTTTTGACTTTTTATAAAAAAAAATGTGTAGAAAAGTAGAGAAAGTGGGTAGAAAAGTAGAGATGAGATGTTGATTGATGTGACTCAAATAAGTGTATGTATGTAAAAAAATACACTTTTTTAGTGCATGCCAAACAAACATTTTGTTTTATTGACTTTTTAACCTATTTTATCTTTGTGACTAATTTAGCCAAAAAATAAAAAAAGCTCACATCTCAACCGACTCCATAATCTCCACTCCCGACCTTACCACATCCGCAACATAGTAAAAACTTTAACAATAATATTAAAATTTAATAATTAAAACTAAAAATGCTATTTATAATTTTAAAAAAAATATCTATATAATATGACAAGAGGGTTTTTGAAAAGGAAAATGTTTGAGGGCCACAATTTTTGTGGCCACAATGGCTCAAAACTACCAAAATGACGTCGTTTTGGGTGCAAAACATGCCAAAACGACGTCGTTTTGACAGTTTTGAGCCATTGTGGCCACAAAAATTGTGGCCACAAAAATTGTGGCCCTCTAGCATTGTTGTTTGAAAATGTCCAAAATGTATTAGATGTACATTTGGTTTCAATGGTATGGTTGGAATGAATCTTAAATGTATATCAATGGTTCAGATTAATAGATGGTAACCGCCCAAACACCCCTCTCCCTAAGCATCACAAATGATTTGCCTCCCCACCATTCTTTTCTCTCTCTCTCTCTCTCTCTCTCTCTCTATTTAAACATTTTTTATCTTCCCTCAGCTTTTGCCTCTCATTTCTCTGTCTACCTATTTCTCTCTCTGGCTTCATCAGACCTCACTCTGACCACTCCGGCTGCTTGGTTGTAAGGTTGGTTTTCTATAAGGTTTGATCTTTTTAGGTTGGTTTCCTGTAAGTTTTGATCTTTTTGGGTTTAAAATGGGTTTGATCTTTAAGTGATAAAGTGTGTTTATTGGGGCTTAATAAACCTAGAAACTGAACATTTTTTTTCAGAGCATCTTTTTTGCTCTGAGCATCTTTTTTTCTTTCTATTTCACTCAAATGCATAATATATATCATAGACCATACTCTATTTTTTCAAAGAGTTATTGTTGCTCAATGGTTCTGAAAAATCTAGAAATCCCCTAGATGTTGATTTGTGATTATGTATCAATTTTAAGTAGTAAACAACAATCCCAATCAAACAATCAAGACAAAACAACACAACGATTTTAACGTGAAAAACCCACAATTGGACATCTCCAACTGTGATTAAAAAATCACGGGCAACGGCCACAAAATAATCCACTAAGAAGATTTAAAGGAATTACACAGGTATACTCTCAATTACCTAGCGAATCCACGCCTAATTGAACCAACCTCTATGTGCCTCTTCCAACCCCGTCTTCACCTTAGAATTGTCTTTACGATGAGCCACTCCAGAATCCACTGAAGCTTCAGGCTCGAATTCTTCAGAATCCACCGAAGAACAACTCTCTCTCTCTTGTGTATAGCAAACAAAACCTTTGATGTACTCTCTTTAAATCATGAGTTGAATACTCAATAAAACATCAAAGAAAACTAACAAAATATTCCCAGATATAAACCTTAAGAACCAAAAAGAAGATCTGGAGGAATTAAATAGTTTTGGGAGAAAACCAACTATTTATAGAAAATCCAAAAGTAATCCTAGTTTTGGAAGAAATCCAATTACTTTTGGATATCCTAGTTTTGGAAGAAAATCTTAAAGAAATCTTTGTCAAACGGGATTGCCAATAATAAAACCTAACAATCTTCCCCTTTGGCAATGCCGTGACAAAACACATCTAACAAATAAAATCCTAAACACCCCAACCCATTACAGCCAACAAAAACCAACTTCTTTCTCAAGGTCATGACCTGCAAAACAGCTATTAGTGCCACAATCTCCAAAACAACTATTAGTCCTATAAAAGTATAAGAAAAAACAATAAACATAGGACAAGATTATCTTGAAACATGAGATGGAAAACATGAATAGATGAAAACTAAGACTCATGAAAAACAACTCTCAAACAACAAAAGCAAGATCATAAACCAACAACAAAAGCAAGATCATAAACCAACCCAAGTCAAGATGAACCAAACTCCCCATCACTAAAAGCAACCACAAATACTGAAAACAGTGAACAAAAAGAAAACGACAAAAAATAATATGGTGGAGCAAGCAAGAAATTTCAGATTTGTACCTTAAAACACACAAGATTATCCAAGAAGCGCAATTACTAGTAAACACAATGTGCACAGTTTGTAGAAAATTCCTCATGAAAG